CTTCCTGAATCAGAAGCTGTAACCCTCATCACACACTCAGACATAACAAATTAAAGTGGACACCAGTAGGGCTGCATAACATGTTACAAACACACTCCTGAGCTATTTTATTATGTATTCATGTAAGTTACCACATATACCGAATTTCTCAATCACTTGGTAGAAAATTACTGCATCTGGGCATCTTGACTTGCTGAGCACAAGACTGAGAAAGAAAGGGGCTTTAAATGTGACATGGTTACTGGTGTCAGACAGGCTTGTGTGAATATTTCAGAAGCTGTAATATGCTTTTCAACTCTAAGGTTTACAGAGAATGGTCTGAAAATGAGATGATATTGAGTGAGCTGCAGTTTTGTGGACAAGATGATGTCAGAGGAGAATGAGCAGAGTGGTTTCGAGGTAATACAACAGCAAGAGTAGTTAAAATAACTCAATACAACTAGGCTGTGTGAAATGCCACCTGACATGTCAAATCTTGAAGTATATGTGCAATAGCAGCAGACCACACCATTGACCATTCCATCAGCTAAGAAAATGAAACGGAGGCTAAAAGTTGCACCAAATTTGAACAATTACAGATTGGAAAAGTGTCGCCTTATCCAATTATCCAATCAGTCTCAATTTCATCGTCAACATTTTGGTGATCAGATCAGAATTTGATATGAACATAATCTGTCAACATGTATCCGTCCTTCCTCGTATCAGTGGTTCAGACCGCTGGTGATTTGCAGTAGATCTGTTGAAAAGGTAAAACCCACATTGAATGAGGTTAAATACTTTCAGATATCAAAGAGAAAGTCTATATTGTACATTAAACACATTTAGAGGAATTGCAACTTGTGAGACACAGTAGATGCAGTTCATTTACTATTTTAAGGATTATATTGTCACTCATTTCATTTTCATTAAACAATAGGTGTTTTTAGTACTTCATTTTATTTCAACGTAATCTTCCACTAACCTGAATGAAGGCTACTGAACAATTGTAAGTAAAATGAGCACAGGAGTGTTTTTTGTGGGTGTTTTGTGTAATTTTACCCAGTTAGTGAAACAAAGGGAAACTGAAACGGAGCGTGCTGACCTCATATCCCTCGTTATCCTCTCTCCCCGTCTCTTCAGTTTATTAGCTCTGCCTCTCTCAGCTGGAAAGTACATGTCTGTGTGTGTGAACACAGTAATGAGACCTTTCAGCAGATGTATAAGTGTGTGTGGACTGTACATGTGTTTGTGTGTGGGTTTCCTGTCTGCCCCAGTGGGACACTCACTGTAGGTCTGAGTGCTGATCAGAAAGGTCCTTGTGTCGGCTGGAGGCTGTGGAAATCCCCTCTGCTACTCACATGCCTTCGTATGTGTTCATCATTTGGACATGATTTCATTCAGTGCATCTGATTGCAAAAAGTAAAAGAATAATTGTCTAAACTCCACCCGTTACAATGCGTTTTTAAAAACATTGAGACGCCACAGACCTTCTTCTACATGATTGAATGTTATTGAGTTAAGCAAGTGTTTGTATAAAATAACATTCTTAGAGTTTCTCCTCTTTGAGGATCGAAATCTGTTTGGAACCGTTTCAGTCAACAGGTCTTTGTATTTCTTTTGGCTGTATGATTTCACATCTCAGTAAACTTCAACTTCACCGTATCCAAGCTGATCGGATTGTAGCGCAGAGGTGGGAGAGAAGCAGAAATGAAATGAAATTAAATTAAATGAATCACAAAAAGTCCTGAAAAGATGACTTCAGCTGGTAAGAGGAAGCTGAACATATCACAGCAAAGATGCTGCATCGTATCCTTCTTGTTCTGTTTTTCAATGTCAGCTGCATTATTAAATGTTGGTTGTGTTTTGGTTAAGATAAGGGTCTGCTTATTCTCCAAAGAAAACACATGGAGACTGTTTGCCATTTGTAATGCTAACTGCTAATAAACAATGCCACTGACGGATAAATATTTGTGAAGTCTTGTTAAAGTTTAAATTTGTGTAACAGCAACTGTTCTGACTTCCACACCTCTAGATATAAGCAAATTATTGCTGACAACAGAAAGGCGTCTTAAGGTGCCTTTATAATCATATCAAATAAATGACTCCAACACATTGGTGTTAGGTTTGGCACAGCTGATATGTATTCTTTAACAATCATGTAGAAAGAATTACATCTTGTAATATTGTGCATTTTCACATTTTGGGTGTTTTAAATTTGAAAAGAGTTGCTAAGCTATACTCTGCCTCATAAATGAGCTATGTTGTAATTTTAGTTGGATATTATTTATGAATGCCTTTTCTCACAATCTGAGTATTTTTTGTATTTGTAGATTACAACTCTTGAGATTACAATGACTCTAACTTTTTGTCCGTTTTGAGATTTTCACAAACTGTTGTGTGTGCGCGTGTGTGTGTGTGTGTGTGTGTGTGTGTCTATTTCTGTTGTCATAGCTTTAGCTTAATATAACAAAACAATGAGTTTGTTAACCAGCTAGCCACACTTTAAAACTACTTACAAATTATGTAAGTTACACTGATAGATTTAATTTAAAGTTTTTGCTAGATATAAAATAGAACAGCAAAAATGTCTAACTCTTCTGCAGTCTTGCCTTTTACAAATCAGAAGACCCCATGATCTTTGAAAAATGAACCACCTCAAAGACATTGGAAATACTGGAAAGCAAAATCTCAAATAGGTGTAAACCATTTGAACATCGGGCGCTGGTGGTGTGAAAGTAAACACATGCACAAACTGCCTCTCCTTTTCTCGATCCCCTGATCAGAAGGAGAGAGGCCAGCTGGCAGAGCGCCAGCTGCCTCTCGTGTTTGGGAGAGCAAACAGGCTCACGTCTTTGATGACAGAGAGATCAGAGCAGGGGACAGATTCTACGCGGCTGCGCTAAGGTCGCCGCAGTCCAACCCGGCTGCCATGTTGTGCTCTGCAGCTAGGAGACCCGGAGTGTAAACAGCGCTGGGGCGTCAGATGCAAGTGTGTGTGTGTATGTGTGTTCCTTGAACCCAACCAGCAAACTCTCTTTGCTTTCCAACACGCCCTCTCCAGATTTGATTTAGAGCTTTATAGTTATAAGAGAAAGGATTGAAATAATATATTCATTTCTAGTGCATGCATTCACTTTTTCTTTATTTCTAAGTCTATTTTATTAGGTCTTCAGCTTATTATTATACCACAAGATTATAAAACCATTCTCTTTAACATGTTGGCTTGGGATATAAAAACATTGTTGCATACTAGCGAAATGAGCAGAGGCTGGTTGTAAAGTTATGGTGTCAAAACGGCTAAAGTTTTTTATCACAGTTTCTACAGTTCAAATTATTTTAATAAATACCAAAACGTCCAAGAATTTTCTCTGACTGTAAGGGGCTTAGAGTAACTTGGTGCTCCCCCTCCCCTACATGTTGCTACAAACTAGTCAGCTAACTGAAAGAGTCCGAAAAAAAAAATTGCGTACAACAAAGATAAATCCTCAAAACTCACAATCAGTACATGATAAAAATTACAACTTAACTTCCAAAAATCTTTGTTGTTTTAGCAGCAGTAAAAAGTGCTATTTTGTCTAAACTAAAATTAATTACGTAATGTTAATGTTTTTCTTTTAAATGTCTGTTATACTATGATATTGTGATATATTTTTCTCAAGGTTAAAATCTCACATATAAGCCTATGCCAATATGACACCAAAAGAAAATTAATTTCAATTTAATAATGCAATAGAAAAATTACTGACAACTGCTTAAATAGCCAATGCGCTTTGTGGCATTGATAATCAAAAATTCCAAAGAATCTGTATATTTTAGGTCTCTTCAAAATGTTTCGACCAAAAATGTTTCAACAAAATGTGTTTGAGATGAAGCTAGTAAGTGAGAAGTTTCCTGCTGCATTTAATTTCTGCAGATTTAATCAAGATTTGTGTCTTGTCTGTGGTTTGACCTTTACAGTCAAACAACTTTGCTTTCACATTTTCACAGCAACATTTTCTGTCAGGTGGATCCCTGCAGATAGTGTAAAAAATGTTGGTCCAGGGATGTTTTGGTTTTTCAGGAACTCTGCAACTTGCTCTAAGTGATACAGAAAGTTTTAGAGTAGAATGTCCTAAGCTTGATCAAACCTGTCGTAGGACAGAGAGCTGAAGGACAACAGCAAGTGAATGGCTCAAAAACAGAGGAGGAAGGGTATATATATACCTTTAAACATTGTTTGAGACACTCTCAAACAATGTCTTCAATGTGGTTGTATTAAAACAATCCTGCAAAAAATCCTCCAAAATTCTTCCACAGGGATGTAAAATGGTTGTTGCAAATATTTGATGGCACCTGTTGCCATTAAAGCTCAAAAAATGGGTTAGAGGACTTTTTTTTTCATAAGGCTAGGCTGGTTTGGATAGATTTTTTTCCTAATTTGATTGAATTTGAGAATAACTTTTATATTAACTTGTATCTTTGCCAGATTTAAAAAAATGTGTTTAAAACATTGAAGTTTGAAAAAACAAGTCCGTTTTGGAGTGATGGTTTTTCAGAGGTCTATAGTCAGAAGAAAATAATGAATGAAAAAAAAATTTGAAAAAGAAGTACTGCTGGATGTGTTGCCTTGCTGTGAGTTAGGGTAGAGTGTGTCTGTGTGTGGCAATGGAAAAAGGTGGGGAGTATCTGGTTTCCTGGAGCTGTGTGTGTGGTGGTGGGGGGTGACATTATGCAAATCAGCTGAGGATCTCAGATTTGGAAAAGGAGGGGGGTTGAATGTGTGACACGCACACGCACCGAGGCAGACGGAGCGAGGTCGGGGTTGCAGCCTTCCTCTGCTCTATCGACAGCTGCGAGTTCCAGCAGCTCGCCACGGCTGCACCTCCTCATGATGAAGGAGCACTGCACCCGGGTGGCACAGCTAAAGTTTCGCCCTCTTCCACAGCAGCCGCAGCAGAGCCGTGCAGCGGGTGGGCAACACTCAGGCTCCATGTACGGCGTCTGTTCTGACGGTGTGTCTCTGTGTACCGGGTGTCTAACAGATGAGGCGTACCAGAAGCTGGCCATGGAGACAATGGAGGAGTTGGACTGGTGTCTTGACCAGCTGGAGACCATCCAGACGTACCGGTCAGTCAGCGACATGGCCTCCAATAAGGTAAGGGAGACCACATTTCCCACTTTTTCTTTGTGAAGAATTTTCTGAAGAGCTCAAAACGGAAAGTTTTATCATATTTAAGCAAAATAAAACTTGTTGCTCCAAACCTGTAAGGAATGGTTAACCTTAAGACTGCTTAGAGCAAAGAATCCAATCCAAAGTTTTAATGCATCTCCCAAGCAAGGTCAGAAGTTTTCTCCCAGGTCTAAACTTGTCCAGCATGCTGAAAAGGAGAGCATTGGCTGCACAGGGGGCGCTGCAGTATTTACTGACTGGCTGTATACATATGTTTCTTATCAACTAATTATTTTCTAAATCAACATGAAGCTTGATCAGTTTTTTTCATTTGCCCACATTTTTACAAAGTTGGTTACACAACGGTTATTACCTCGGCTTGCTGTTTATCTCAGCCCATGTTTCCTGTAAAACTTGTCTTCACTATCCGCTGGTTCCTCTGCATCATTGATTCAGTGTGATGTGCACCAAGATTCAGTTCCTGTTTTTTTTTTTTTATATATATATAAGTAACCTTATAACCTTTACACTCAGATTTGTAGTGGTATTTGATATTGACATTTTAAAGTCAGTAAATTAAGTTCCTTTGTTTTACTGGAAATCAAATAATAATGTAGAAAGCACCTTGCTGTATTTATTCAGCAACATTTAAAAAAAAAAACTATTGTAATACTCTCAGCTATGATGGCTGAAGAAAAAACACTTTTTGCATAATTAACCTAACTTTTAGAGACAAAGTTATGCTACCAGAAAGAAAACATGTAAGAGAAAGCCACTTGTCTCACTGTGGATCTGAACCAGGCTTGTCAAAACAAAACCTTAACATTTTCAAGATAATAGCCCCAAAATAAAGTGCAAATTACATATTTAGAGTACTTCTATTTCAGGTTGTATTCCAGTAACAAGTAGCATGTCATATTTGTGCATCTTCATCAATTCGCACTTACATCTTACTAAATAATTTTTCAGTGCCACTCTAACTGTGTTGGCTGTTGCGTCATTGATGGTGGATGGGAAGTACTGGTAATTTTGTCATCCTCCTTTAGAAAATAAAGAAGTTATTAGAGAATGTTTAAATATTTATGAAGCCAAATGTATCTTTGCGCGGACCAATTTACTGTAAAGGGAAAAAAATAAACGTCATGAGAACCAGTGGGAAATTTAAAAACTTATTGAACAATATTCAGATTTCTTTTCATCATAATTTCTTCTAATTAAATTCTGCAGCAGCTTAAACTGGTAATGTTCCAAGCAAAGCATTGCAGAAATATTTTGTTCTAAAGTCACTGCTTGGCTATTGTTTAGCAATCCTCATTTATATTCCTGTATGTGGCTGTGTTTGAGTCATATTAATGATCTAATGAATCTGGGATTTTCCTAACAATCTAAGATCCAGTGAACGCTCTGTGTTCAAAAAACAAACAAGAAAAAGTCCACACTTTTTGGAGAGTCCAGTCAAAAATTCTGCAATATGCATGCTAAAGCAGCAGGTGATGACAACTTCACCCACCTCATCTGATGATCGTAGTCAGAGGACACACTGATAATCCAATGACAATTGGATTATGTAATGCACATCTAATACAAGTTGAAAGATACATTTTTTACCTTGAGCATGGTAAGAAATATATCTTTCCTTACTACGAAAAGATACATTTTCTTGGTATCTTTTCACGGTACCATGAAAAGTTCAAAACTTTCTTAGCTAGTCTAGAACTAGAACTAAGTTATAGACCAGCCTTTTAAATAAAAATGTGCAGTTTATATGTGACTTGATGTTTCTTCTTAGTCAATAACTGTTTCATCTTGCATTTTAAGTTTACTGTAAATAGACAAACTGAGGCAGATGTAAAATATCCATTAAAATGTGCAGGTGTTGATGAGGATTTCTAGCACACTAAACTTGAGTTGGTCTGTCCAGAGTGATGGTTTATGTCGCTGAAAAAAGATGTTGAGTTTTTCAATTTTCTGAATCAGTGGCTTTTGACTCTGACCTTCCTAATATGATTTGGATCAGAATTGAAGAGGGCAAAATTGTTGACTGGGATATTGCGAGTTTACTCTTTGTGCTATAAATGTTTAGTTTCTGAGGCTGTTTACAGACTGTTTGTACAAGTTTGTTTTTATTTTGCTGGTGGACATATTAATGTTATTATGGCCTTCTGCGGTGCAGTGTGCCACTGGGGAATCTATAAAAACAAACAAAAACACTTCGGTGGGAATTTTCCGATTCATAGGAAGTTGTTTTTTATGATTTAAAAAAGCAAGACATATAATCCATTTTTGTTTTTCCCAGCTATTTATCAATGTCATGAACAGGACAATAAAATCTAATCACAACCTGCTGTATAAGTTGTTTTGTAGACCTGTTAATTTGTTGTCTTGCTTGGCTAAGGTCAAAGAACAGATATCTGAGAGTTAAAGTGAGAACAAAATGTAAAAACAATTTGTCTCGTAAGCTGAGAGGAAAAGCTTGTTATTTCTCATAAAACTGGACAACAGGATGTGAGATCCCCCAGTGGGTCAAACACAATAAACTCAGGAGGAAGAGAGAGAATGTTTGTGTGTGTCAAAGAGTATGAGTGTGTGAGGGATCCTTGCAGACCGCTGGGCAGAATGACTCTCTCTTCCTGTCTCCATCCGGATCTCCTGCGCTCTATTCAGACGACAATAGACGTCCCATCTCACTCTTCTGGCTAGTTATTGGTGGTGGTTGTTTATCCTATTGCTTTCATCATCCGCACTAACAACCAGAACTGAAAGTCAGCTGGACTGTTCTCTCTATAAACAAGCGATTAAATCACTGAGAAAAAAACAAAACAATTTTGGACAACAGCATATCAGAACTGAATAATACCTGTTTATTCCAAAGGCTACTATCCCTGCTGTTTGCCATGATTTAGTCTTATCTCATGATAGTGAAATGATAGCACCTTGGCCAGTTTTAGCTTGTTGGAATTGATTCAGGAGTTCAAAAATTTCCAAAGTCTTGAAATAATTGAGAAATGTGGGATTTTTAAAAATCTTTCTTCCTAAGAAAACAGATTAGATGCTTTGTGTTGCCAACATAATCCTAAGTCAACATAACTGAACTAAAAGGAGTTTAGTAGAACAACCTGTCATATTTCAGTTATTTTTTTTTTTATCAGCATAATTATAATTTGTATTCTTTTTGTTTCCTTTTGCTTTAGTTTGGTTTTCCCCTCAGGTTTTGCTCACAGGCTTGTAGCTCACGATTTGTCATAAACATTGAGATTTAAGCAAGCTTGGATAAAAAGGAAGTACCAAGCAGAAAAACTTTTTTGTCCAGTGACCAAACACAATAACAGACACACATCACAAATGTAGAGATAACAAATGAATTTCACCAAAACATTTCAGGAGAAACTTCACGAATAATGAGGTAATAAACCACCTGTCTGTAGGCACAGTGGCAAACAACTGCTTGTTAAAAATATATGTGTGTGTTCATAACAAAAAAATAAAAGTGTTGCAGCCTTTAGGCTGACATTGTAATTTCTGCTCCAATTCTAACCAACATTGTTAACCTGATATGCTAGAAACGCGTCAGCGTCTTTCTATGAAAGCGTCTATCCTATGAAATGAAAGGCTGAATAAGAAAGTAGGGTAAAAAAACAGCTGCAGTTGTACATCTGGGATGGAGAAAAAACTTAGCTAGACTGATGGACAGAGCCAGTATTGATCCAATATGATTATCAAACATCACCAGGGGATCTGTAGTGACAGGACAGGAAGCAAAACGCATTGTAAAAAAGGACATTTCCACTTTATATGGCTTCAGTTATATGTCGTTATCCTTCAGGCTTGGTCCATCCTTTAAATCTGAATTTCCACTTGTTGGATAATCCTGGAACAAAATTTGCTGCATAGATTAACTTTATAGAAGAATGGTTAATTCAACAAAACTTCTAGGTGGCCAGCAATAATAATTATTTAACCAGATAAAGAACGTCTTTTTCAAGAGGGACGTTGCGAGTAGCAGCAATCCAAGCAACCACTGATGAGTTCAACGTATTCTACTAAGGAAAAGTTGTTATACCTTAATGTAACAATTGTTTTCCACAGTCACTGCGTCTCAAACCTAAATATGGGGCCATCAAAAACGTATCATCCACATATGCAAGTGCTCACTGGTTTTAGTGAGCTCAGAGGGACCTTTTTGTTAGAAAAGTGTGTTTTGAAATCACTCTCCCACATTAAAAAAACAATGCTCAGTTGAGTTGCGATTTATTCATGCTTCGCACTTTAATGTTTATGGGTCTTCTGGCTCTTGAAATGATTATTAGTCATCGTGATAAATTTGTGGTCCACAGTGAAGCATATCAGGTGTCACAGTGTTCTCATTGTGCGTTGCGACCTTTTTTCATCTCTGTGACTTTGGCGGGAGAGTCTACGTGTTCTTGCATGCAACCAAAAGAAGCTTTTCAGAAAGCATGTTTTCATCAAATGCATGTAAACTTTATGTCCACGTGTGCTGCCATGCTTATGTGCTGCTGTGCATCTGCACTAACTGCAGCTTAATCTCCCTCAGATCTGCTATCTCTGTCTCAGGCCTGTTTTTACAATAAACTCAAACATTACACAACTGTTGAGCCCCCTTTCTGATGTGGGTTGCCTTTTTTTTTTGTTAACAAGAATGGGCTAATCAGCAAATGTGACCCTTGTGCATCTATTGTACTGCGGATGGAAAAACTGTAATTGAAGCTCCAGCAGCGTATGAAACACGAGTCAGGAGGGGGAAGTGAAATGTAAGAGGTTACGGCTGCAGCTCCAAGGTGAGACACAGGGACTGCTCCTGCTGCTGAGGGCTCTCAGTACGTGACTGTCCTCTTTGTTCTGCATCACTGGCATAGATGAGACGAAGTCTGTTTGTGTGCTGGAATGTTTTCGTTTGTCAAGGCCGCAAACCCCTCTCTGTTATGCAAAGAGGGTGAGAGTAGAGCTTCAGAAAACGGTTTTAAAGG